ATTAGAACGCTGTCCAATGCAGTGTTTTCTCTCCGGGAGGTACAATCTATTTTTTATTTGCTGGTGAAGGTAGTGAGAATGAAAAACACGACATGACCTCCGTCTGTTTTTGACATTTGACAGTTTCTGACATTTTGGTACTAAAGTCAAAAATTAAAGCTGCTCTCTGGCGTTACGATTTTTATAGGACTAGCTCTGCGTTACTTTAATCGCATTTGTTTTAAAGTGAGATAAATAGCGTGACCGGCCTTACACAAATACGTGGCGAGAGAGCAACAAGGCAAGGCAAATGTTGAAAAGAGATAGCTATCTCTCTTCCAAATTATTAATTGATTCACACGCATAAATAAAAAAAACGAGCTATAGTTTTTCAATTAGTAACAATGTGTAAGATTTAAATTAATTGTAATATAAAAAACTTATTTAAAGTGTTACCTATAATTTTCCTATAAGACTTAAAATATTCTTTGGTTTCATCTGAATTTATCGATATGAAAGTCTTCAAATTATTATTATATATTTATTAACTTAACGGAAGAAAGAAAATCGAGGTGGACGTTTTTTTTCAAAGATCATGTTTATGAGCTATTAAGTCGTTAATATTAATTTATAATTGACTTTCTTTAACATTGTTCTGTAATAAATACACATAAAAGTCACAAGTGCACATTAAACATTCCGAATTTGTAAACAGGTTTTATTGGGAGAAAAAGTTTTCCGGGAAAACTTTGAAAGTTAATTAAGAGTAAGTTAATTTAACTCGATTGATTTTTTTTAAACGTGGGCAACTTTCAAAGGAAATGCGGAAGATTTATATTCCAGCACGTAGCTGCCGTATATCACAATTTATTTCGTGGGTTTCCAACACTGACACAAGTTTTCCACATTGTACAAAGTTAAAACATATTCGATTCGATTGGTACAAGATGGCTACAAAGAACCAAAATCACCTCCTTTTTAAAGAATATTTTGCAGAAATAATGCACAGGCTGTGAGAGAAAGTTCCTAAAGTATATTAAATAATTAATTTTTTTAGAAAGTTAATTTTATAATTTTAAATACAACTTGTTAACTGAATTTTTCGAAGTTTAAAATTTAACCATTTTTGTTTGAAGTAGTGAAACTTTTACTTTTGTAAGATTTTTATCTTTTGTGTAAGAAGTTTTTAAAAATACTTTTTTCTCGAACAATCAAATTATTTAATTTAAAAAATGAAACAAACTAAACTTAAAAATAAACGACAACTAAAAATTATTACGGTTTGACTGACTTATAGTATTCCAAAAGCTGTGTTATGTATGATATTACTTTATAGTTTATTTAAAATTCTGCAAAATCGTTCTTTATCGTTGCGCCGCGTGTCGAATACGCTTATCTTGTGTTAAAGTGTCTTAAAATATCACAAGTTAATGCATAATTCAGCAGAATGAAATTACCATCAACCGCATTTTCAGTAAACTATCAAAATACTTTGATTATCAATAAAAGCTTGATGTTTATCCCATTTCTCTCACTTAATTATTATTCAATAAAATTTGTGCAGGCGTCAGTAAATTGGAAAAAATGTTTTATGAGAAACCTGTTTTCAGGCCGCACATTTATCTGTCGATAACCCTTCGATAAAAAAAACTCTCTTGAGACGGAAATAATTTCAAACTTTATTCACTTCGGTGCTATAACATAAGCGAATCAGATCTCCACTGTTGAAAATTTCAATTTGGAAGAGTTCATGCTATTGACGGTTCCTTGGAACTTAATCTGTTTGCATTATGTTAAGTTCTAAGCACACATTTAGATAGTAGGGTCGTTCAGCTTGAATTGTGCCCTACAGCTTGTTAAGAGGTTTACTCAAGGTTCTGCGGTAACTGCCTTTTATTGGAAGATGTGTTGTGATTCTAAACTCTTGATTAAAACGCTGAAAACAATGTTCACTTAACACTTAATAAAAGTACAAAAAGAAAATTTGATCACCCTGTATAACAAAATCAGATAAAAACTACATCAATCGATAGAGCAAAGTTTTCTTTACCAACGTGCAAAATTCTATTATTTTATTTCTAATAGAAAAGGTGATATTATAAATTTAAGTCAGGACAGGATTTGAAATCAATTAGATATTTTAAATAGAGGGTGACCCAGGAATGCGAGCTAGCTCCATAACTTTTTTTAAAAGTCATTGTTTCTGATTTTCGTAAATTTGAAATATGTTATAGAACGTGTAAAAATAAGTGACACGTATTTCATCGTTTTTTATTTTTCCAATGTATGTTGAAAAAACAGGGATGTACAAAATTAAGTACCTGGGAGCAAAAAGAATTTTTATCTAAAGAACAAATCAACATATTGAAACGATTTTTTTTTAAATAATATAATATAAATAGGTACATTACGGAAGTAATAATACATGAATTCTAAAAATTTGTTTTTAAGAAATAATTTAAAAATATATTCTAACAAAAAAAATAAACAATTACGCAGTTTTTGAAATTCTTAAAAAAATATGTAAAAACTCTCACATTTTTACTATGTCTGAAAAAGCATTTTTTTTGAGAGCGCTGCATAGTGCATGTTCTCATAAGATCACCTGAAAGTAGCGTTTCCTTGGAAATTAAATAGAAAACACATAATTTCCAATAATTTATTAACATTTAAAAAAATATCAATAATAAAAAACAAATTCTTGGGATGAGTAAATATTTCACATATTACGTTTGGTTATACAGGGTGTGTCAAAATTCCCGGACCAACGTGACATGCCATGTAAGGTAAGACACATGAAAAAAATCTGTCAAAAATTTTACATTTATTTATTAAAAATTGACATTTTTTATGTCTATTTAATGACATCGATGATCTTGTATATGTTTTTTTTTATAATTATTTAATAAAGGTTCGATAATTTTGCCAATAAAAGCCACGAATAACATTAGACCGAGTTACAAATTACAATACAGCTTCCTTGTTTCCTCTTCTAATAGCCTGTAGCAAAAAAAACACACAAAAACGGAAACAAATAGAGCCRAAGTGCAAAATTTAAACACTCATAACTTCGAAATTTTTTTAGATAGATTTGTTTTACATTTTTTACATGCTCCTGGTATGTTACCTTACATGGCATGTTACGTTGGTCCGGGAATTTTGACACACCCTGTGTGAAAGACTGCGATTTTTGAAAGACTGCGATTTTTTAAATGATCGTTTTAGTCGAGCAAAGCTCATAAAAAGTACTCGAGATCTACATACTTTTATTTTAATATCAGAAAATAGAATAAAAAAAAATAGAGAGTACTCTTTCTCAACCGAGGAATTTGTATTTATTATTGATATTTTTTGAAAAATAAATGTTATTGGAAAATTGAAAACTCAGTGTTTTCTATACAACAATTTATTAGTGACAGTAATTAAATTAATTAAACAAATTTTTCTATTTAATTTCCAAGAAAACGCTACTTTTAGACGATCTTAGGGGATAACGCACTATGCGGCGCTCTCAAACAAAATTTTTTTTTAGCCATTTTTAAAACGTCCGTCTTGAAAGTTATGTGAAGACATAAAAATATGAAAGTTTTTACATAAATTTTAAGTGAATTTTAAGAATTTTAAAAACCTACGTACTTAATTGTTAATTTTTTTGTTTAAACAATATATTTTTAAATTATTTGTTAATAACAAATTTTTAGAATACATGTATTATCACGTCCGTAGTGTACCTACTTATATCTATTATTTAAAAAAAAAATCGTTCAATATGTTTATTTGCTCTTTAGAAAAAAATTCTTTTTGTTACGAGGTACTTAATTTTGTACGTCCCTGTTTTTTCAACATACATTGAAATAATAAAAGACGGTGAAATACGTGTCACTTATTTTTAGACGTTCTATAACATATCTCAAATTTACAAAAATCAGAAACAATAAGTTTTAAAAGTGATCGTTTTGGCATGGAATTACTCTTTTGCAGAATGAAAAATGTTGATGTTTTTTTTTTTTTTTAAATAGAATCGAGTATGCCGATGTTGTAAAATTTGACACATCAATACAATTCTGAAAAGAATATGTTTCAACAAAATGAAATTGTAATAGAAACAGAAGTAAATCACAAAGGAAACAATGTAAAAATTTTGAGAAAAGTCTGCTTATAGAAAATGCTCAAATAAAGCACCATGTTTTACACAAGTTGCTAGTCTTCTAATAAATGTATAATGTAAATAAATAAAGTGAAGGCTTCCGTCAAATTTTATGACAGCGGCCTACTAGATTCCGGTTTTTTTTCGAAAAAAAATCAACATTTTTTATTTTGCAAAAATCTCACAAATTTTACAAAATGGATTCTACAAACTCTATATTGGCAAAAAGCTCATATACAACGATGTAATGAAGTATAGGGTATTGAATTTGAAAAAGTCGAGTTACTTCCATTCGTAATTTGTCATTTTTAAAAAATTGTAGTAGGTGGAGGAACATCGACTCAGGGTTTGCCTTTATACCAGAAAATACGCTAACGACTGTGAAAAAGTTAGTTAAGTTATCTTGAATGGTTCTTAAGTTAGAAATTTTTCTGTGAGACTACCTATGCACGACGCAGTTTTGACACATAAATTTACATAAGTTAAAAACTATTGGAGGTAAGTCTAAAAAACGGGATGCGTTATATCGACAATTGAGTGGCGAATCTAAAACGGTAACAAAAATTGTGAGTTTTCATTAAAAAAAAATAGAACTTAGTTGTGTATCTTATTTTAGGACATCCTGTATTAAATATATTTTTTTAAATGTTTCATTATCGGATCTACCATAAAAAAAATCAAGTCAATAGTTTGGGTAGAAAAAAAGTTATAGAGCTTGCACGCACCCCTGGGTCACACTGTATGTATTAGTTTTAGCTGATACAGACTTGAGTATAAAATAAACCAAAAAATTGATTTATTTTATTTCATGACCTTGCATGCTTAATATAATTTGATCACTAATAAATAAAGTAAAACAACAAATTTATTTACATACAAAAAATAATTTATTACAAAATAAATAGAAAAGTATAAACAAATAATAAATAAATATAAATACTTATGATATTTTAAACAAGTACCTCTTTTTTGGAATGAGGAATTTTGACATGGTTTTTAAACAACATTTTCTCTAGCACAATAACAGGAGATTCAAAGATGAGTGTCCAGACTATTGCAATAGCAAGCGAAAAGATCAAGTCGCCCCAAAACTTATGAAACTGTAAAAAGCAAAGTTAGTTTTTATTCTAAATTTAAGAAATAATCTTACCGCGTAGTAATCGCTGAAATGCAGCGATGATCTTGTTGTAAAATTTGTCATAAAAATAAATGAATAGTGCACTAAATATATACTGTATGATAATCTCGATAGTATTTGAAAAATGGGTATCGAAAGGAATTTGTTAATGGGGCCACCGTAATCCATAACACATCCAAATATCACCCAACAGATTGCTACGGACCATGTGGGTCGCATCAAAGCAATGTAGAATGAATTGGCTAATCTGTCGTACTCTGTAAATTGAAGAGTATGTCCTCCGTATACACAAACCGCCATTAAAACAAAGGAAGACAACCATGCTAGCAATACCAACATCTGGAAATATAAATTAAATAAAGTATTATTAAGAATACGAATACAAATAAACTTAAGTTAAAAGACAAAAACAGTTGTTTCGAAATCGTTCGTACAGTAAACGCAATAGTCTGTAAAGTTGTACTTTTTCGGCCTAATACGTCATTAAATCGTCTGTAAATGTTGTGTATGTTAGTAAATTAAATTTTAGGATTAAAAAATTTAAAATGATTTCTATGTATACAGGGAATTTTTTTAATAATGTGAAAAATTGCAACCACATATTCTATATCATAAAATAATATTAAAAAATAAAAAAAAATATCTAGGGACGTGCTCGTACGCAAACCATTGGTAAAAGTAAAAACATAGTAATTGTCGGAAAATAAACGCTTTTGATGGCTCACAAATGGATTTTAATTTTTATTATGAAAATTTATCACCCTCTATATCTGTAACAAAGCTTTGTGGGACGTTTATTTGACACATTAGTGTTATTTTTTGTTGTAGAATATTTGGTTGCAATTCTCGCATTAATCAAAACTATTTTTTTTTGTCCAGTGTAATAGAGCAAAAATTATTGCTTGTATTTACCTTATTAATTTTAATCTTTTTTCCCGATGTTTTTAATTGAGAAATCACATAACCAAGCATCAATCCCATTAAATACGGGGTCATTCTGGTGTGAGTGGGCATGTAATAATACTTCATGTAGTCGCTAAGGTTTCCACTAATATTTCCAGTCATTTGTCCATTAAGTTTGAAAAACCATCCGATTAGAAAACTACTTATAATCGACAGAACAGACAATATTGATGAAGTAATAAAACCCCAAGTTGGCCATTGGCGTATCAAAACTAGGAGTAAAGGTGACACTAGAAATAATTGCATGTCCACTGAAAGGTACCAACTTTGAGGAATACACTAAAAATTGGAAAATTAATGTTTTTACAACAAATTTCAGTTACTTACTATTCCGTTGGGGTTGTTGTAATTTTGGATATATAGTAAAGTAGACCACCAGTAATCCTTACAAGCTTTGGATAGAAATAAGTCGGTGTTTTCCCAAACAGGTCCGGAACCAAAATAATTAAAAAGAGCCGCATGTGCTAGTAGCATTGCAGCTAGAGAGGGTGTCAGTCTTAGGAAACGGTGCAGATAGTATAAAGGAACATTGAATTTTGTCCCTTTGTTCATAGATGCTTCAAAAGTATACATTGTTAAAAATCCACCAATTACTAAAAATGTGTCGACCGAAACGGTTGCTCCAGAAATGTATTGGCTGTAAGTCGAATCGAGCCACTGCAAAAATTTAATTAATACAAAATTTATGAAAAAAAAGTGATAAAAAAATTGTAAAAAAAATATTTTGCATATTTAACTCTTTTGTGAGTGTTGGTAGCTTTTGAATTGGTGTTATGTTGGTGACACTTGCGTTGGAAAGAAATTGCTTTCAGTAAACTTACCAATTTATCAAATTTTTGGTGGCGGAAATAAAACGTCTTTATGAATAACATTGTTACGTGATCTGATGCAAAATTTCCAAAATTATTTTTTTTTCTTTAAAAACCGCAAAATGGAAAAAACACTATAAAACACTTGTTTCAAAAGACAATTCAAGCAATCGTTTGTTCCTCAACTCTACGTTGCGCGGCTCGTTTTGGAATTGGAACTTGTTAAAATGCTCTGCGACTAGTAATTTTCCAAACACCAACAATTTTAAGCGTGTTTGGGCCTTGATTTTGGAATGATTTAGAGTAGAATGAAGTTGACAAAATCATTCTCAGAACTGACTCTAGATTTGTGTCATTCGAGAGATAATTGAAAGCAGATACGACCGTTTTTTGAGTTTRGYCGCAAAATACGTTTAAAATACGGACGTAAAATTACAAACAGTACGACGCGATCGGTTAAAATGCTCTACGACGAGCTAGTTTCAAGTTATTGAAAGTACATATTTTGTAACAATGTTACATGTAAAATTATTCTAAATTTGATACGCAAACCGATTTGACACAGCATTTTACAGTTTTTAAGTTAAAATTTTATATTTTACATTAAATAATTGGTAATAATCACTTTTCCTAAAATAGTAATAAATTAAACATTCTAACGTGATTCTAACGTCAAAAATGTGTAAGAAGCAATTTCAAATTTTGAAAAAACTTAACTAAAAAAGTTAAGTAGGACGGTTCTAAGCGATTGTAGGAAAAAAATTATTTATAACATTTGCAGGAAAACGATTCCAAAACTCATGCAAGTGCTAAAATTTGCTGCACTTATTTTGGTAACTCTTGCTTCCATTTTAAAATTGCTGTCTTTTCGCACTGTTGAAATTATTTTTTTGTAAAAACATCAGACTTCTAGTAAACTACATACTACAATCAAAAAGTTTTTAACTATACGTATGTAAAATATTCCGGAAACTTATTTGGATAGTTTTATCTATGAATTCCACTACACTCGTAGTGACTACTTACGTTATAAACATCCAGATAGTTGTCCAAAGGAACAAAAACGTAAGCCATGTAAACATGTCCCAACACCACCCATAACGTACTTAGTGCCTTGATACCATTTAGACATGGCAATTCTTGACCACTACCCAAATGAAATAATTTTTTTCCATTTGTGTAAAATGAAAATGCTGTTGTAATTGGGTGGAGAGCAGCTGTAAAGTATAAGTGTTTTATTTGTGTGAAGATTACACAAAAGTACTTACTTTTTTTTGTGTACTGTACAAATATATCATAAATAGTAGAAGTAATAGTGATTAAACCAATTATCGCAAAGATGACTCTAAAATATAAACACAATTTTAGATTTTCTACACATTCCAAAATTCTTTACTTACATCGCTGTTATAGCTAAAGTATCCAAAGAAGGTCCTGAATCTTTTGTCAAACACAATTCGTCGTCAAATGTTAAAAAATTGTCAAAGATTTTATTTAAATCTTGAGCAGTGCAAGAATTTAACACACAGAAGAGTGCTTCTACATTCTAAAATAAATCTAAAGTTATATTTGCATTAATATGTTATTTCTTACAATTTCTCCACTATTATTAAATGTTATGGGCACATAAGTTTTACAGAATTTAGTTTCAACATCTTTTATACTGAAACATTCATCGTAATTGCCCATTGGTCGAAAATTTCCTTTTGCTACACCAGATGGTATTTTTGAGCTAGCATCGATTACTAGAAAAAAATAATTATATAATTTTTTTAATTTAGTGCTAAATCACTTACATAGCAGAAGCAGGTATGGTGATTCTATTACGCGAAACACATCTTTTTGACATTCTGGTGATAATGTTTGATTTATTTCTGGGGTAATTGATTCGAATATATTCTGATAAGGCACTTCGTTGCTATTACTGTTTTTAATGAATAATACCAGAATTGTTGTAATAAAACCACTCAGTTTACTATACTTCATTTTTCACTATATTCAACTTTTTGACTCTCTTTCAAATAAACAGTCACTTGGGTGAATTATATTTATATTGTAGATAAAAAATTATCAAATATTACACGAAATGAACTTTTGATACAATAAGGAGATTCTAGGTTATTAAAAGTATTTGTCATTGTTTTTGATTTTATCTTGTTCCTCTATTCGAAAAATACTCTTAAAACCGATTTTGTGTAATTTAATACACGATGAATTAAATCGGACAATCACTAGATAAATTTTTTGAAATACTAGATTATTTAAAAATTTGAAACAATAGCATTCAAACCTAAAATTTTCTTGGTCTACATGCTTTAACTTGATCTAGAATCTAAATTACTTAAAAAAGAAAAGTAAAATTTTGCGCACTGGTAAAGAAACTTTTGCTTTTTCATTAGATGTGATTTTTACGTGTTTTATTTTTTATATAAGGCGTTTTAACAAGTATTGACAAATTGTGTAACTTTCATAAAATTAAAAAATATTATATTTAGATTGGAATAGACGAAGAAATAAGTACAAGTTGTATTTTATATAAAAAGCAGATCAAGTTAAATAAGAAAATCTCCACCATATGCGTTGTAGAAATTTCTAAATTATAGATAATGTATGTATTTAGTACTTGTGTAAAATTCCACTTATGATTTGTAAACAGTTTTAAATAGTGATTTTTAATCAAAAAAAAATAATCGTACAATCTAGAAAAATTGTGGCATTGATAACGTTTGCATTGATTTACCAATAGCATTTAGGTATTTCTAGAACTCGATTTTATTTAAAACTTTAAACAAACATATTTTGTGGTGAGTTTCCGTTTAATTTAAATTCCATATTGTGGAATTGTTATTTCAATCTAAACAACTTTGTTTCATGGAGATTTGAGATAGCAGATTCATCTTCGATTCAATTCCCAAGTCGCTTCAATTGCATAATTAAGCCATCGATTCCTCAATAATAGGGAGTGAAACACAATTCACAAGRCATTCTAATGCGAAAACACCTTAAAAGCCACACAATCAATCTCTTTCCAACAATAGGTGTTGCACCCCTTATCTTCACGAGAAAGATGCGATAACGAGAAAATCGGATTTCGTTATTCACGATTCGAAGCAAAAATGATTCAGAGCAAGTTTTACACATTTTAATGGACAAATTATTTGATATAAAAAGTGAAATGTGAAAATGTTTTAGGAAATATACAAAACAAACAAAAAATATGAAACCAAGCAAATTTAAGTTTTTCCTTTAATAAGAACTAACTATTGGTAAAAGTGCTAAAGAAAACTGTTTTGAAAATAAACGTTTGTTTACTTTCGAATTATTTAATTTTATTTTCAATTCTTACATCATAATTTTTGTAACCAGTTAAATCTCCGAACGGAGAAAAATTTACTCCGAAACCAAAAGGCTACATAACCTAGCATTTTATTTTTTTTACTTTTCTTTCATGTTTTGCTACCAAAAATTCGAGTAATTGGTAAGAATAAATAAAGCAATTTACTTCTAACGGCATTGCCACCAACATTAAAAACACTAGACTATTAATAATGCACTTCGAGAGGCTGTTTACGCATCCAAACAAGTTTTTTAATAGCTTTATTAATGGCGCAAAATAGAAAATTTATTTATTACTCACAAAACGGTCACATTTATCAATTATCAATTATTTTTTCAAAAGTAAGCATTGCGTGGTTTCATACTTTTTGTTCACCCGGTATGTATTTGAATTAGCATCCGGAATTATTCAAAAAACAAGGGAATTTGTTTTTGCTTTATTATACATACATACATGTAGCCAAATTGTTTATTGACTAAAATGGTTTAAACATATAATAGCCATCAAATTTAATAAAATTATTGATTATTTAAATACAAATTTTTGCAGACATTATCAAAAAGTTACCAAATTATTATTTGTTTTTAGATATTGGTTAAAGCTTTACCGAGTTATTGACATTGTTTTACATTTTTTTATTACAGGCTTTGACGTAGATTKTGAAGCACCTACTCATTTAATTACAATACTTACTTTTTTTACGCAACTACGGAGGTAATTTTATCATCAAAGGCAAAAATGGCGATCATTTCATTATCTTAAAGTTCAGACACAATTAATTGATTACTAATGTTTGTTTTTATTTTCAACTGATTTTGCCGAATGTTGATCAGTTTTGCAAAATTTCAATATAAAAATTTACTCTTTATTTATAACAGCTTTACAATGAGAAACATTGCTTTAGTGTATACAGGGTGCGCCAGAACTCGCACCCCAGAGAAAAATGCCATATAAGGTAAGATACCAGGAACATGGACAAAAATGTTAAACAAATGTCAAAATAAAATATCTATAAAAATTTCGAAGTTATGAGGGTTTAAAGTTTGCACTTGGACTCTATTTATTTCTGTTGGAAAAATAATTTTCCAAGATTTTTTGCTATAGGCTATTAAAAGAGGAAACAAGGAAGCTGTATCCTAAATTGTAACTCTGTTCAATGTTATTTGTGGCTTTTATGGCAAAATTTTTGTCCCTTTACTAAATAATTATAAAAAAACATAACAAGATCATCACTATCCTTAAATACATATAAAAAAATGTCAAATGTCAAAAAATAAATGTCAAAATTTTTTGACAGAATTTTTTTGTTTTATAAAAAATAAAAATTTTCAAATTTTTCTTTTGTTTTTGAGTTCTAGAAAAATTTTAATTTTTTTAAATAGCAATCTATTATAAAACCATTTTTCTCACGAAGCTTATGGTCTAAGGATTACAACTATCTACTTTATATTTAATTAAAAAAAAGGTTTTACATACATTGCAATTTTCACAAAAAAAATCGCATAACTCAAACACAAAACAAAATTTCGTTTTCAAAATTTGATTACATTTTTCATATTACTTTAATTTATATTAATTTATTAATTGTCATTTTCTGGAGGCAATTGATTAAAAAAACACGCTTGATTCCACACATTATACACCCTGTATATTAAGGATTATTCTTAGTGTCAATTGTTTTCGCATTTGCAGTTATTTGTATGTATAGCAAAACAATAGTCTTTGTTTTATTACAAAATTGATGCTGATTTCAGCAACAATTGTTTTTATGTATGGGTCGGGTRTCGCAGRTCACTTTAACAAGGTTTCTGTYTGTSATTTTTGTTATTTTTAATTCTTCTACTTGTAGTACTAAACTTTTACTATGTAGTCACGCCAGCTGTAAATGTATTAATAATTCGACTTAATGGATTTGAGTAGTTTCAATTGATCGGAAATTTCTCTTTGTTTCAGATCTCTCATACTTTTAAAACACTGTCTATAAAATTTTTATACTCTCGTCTGAAGTCTACATTGTTAATAACCAGGAAGAATGACTGCATGGTTTTTACAGTGCACTACTATTAGTTATTTCTTATAATTTTTGATTATGAAACTTCATGGTCCCAATAATCTTTAATTAAAAAATAATAATAACAGTGGCGACGATATAAAGTAAAATTTAGTGCTGCAAAATATTGCTAATCTCTATTGTGAGGGGCTTTCAAAAATTTTTATTTCAAATCTGGATAATACAGCGTGTTTCAAAATTCACGCCTCATAGAAAAGTAAGATACATGGAAAAATGTTTTTGACATTTATTTATTTTTTGCAATTTGACATTTTTTATGTCTATTTAATAATACTGATGACCTTGTATATGTTTTTTTATAATTATTTAGCGAAGGTACAAAAATTTTGTTAATAAAAGCCACAAATAACGTTAAAGATAGTTACAATTTAGGACATAGCTTCTTTGTTTTCCCTTCTAATTTCCAACAGAAATAAATAGAGTCACGACCGTATACGAAAGTAACTGTTTCCATACAGCGAATTACCTACGAAAGTTGACTTTATCGAATTCTCTTAACGACACGTGTGCCGATATGAAAATAACGTAACAGAGGTTGTAGATCTCTAGGCGCGTCTGGCGAGTTCAGCGTGATTGTTGGCATATGCATTTTTTTAACATTCATTTACTTCATCGTTTAAAATTGACGCAAAGTTCTGCTAATTCAAACCATCGAGTATTTATTACTGCCGATGTTAGATCTTTAACAGAAACATTAAATCGTTCTATTAAAAATAGTGTGATTTTTTTTGTCGTGGTATTACGGGGGTTGTGGAAAAAATAGTATACGTAACTCGCTGAAAAGTGTCTAACGCACTCAGCTAATGTCTCGTAAATATAAGACCCACATATCCGTTATTTGTCACCACTTTCCGTGAATACTATTTCATGTTCCTGATATCTTACCTTACGGCATTTTTCTCTGTTTAAATACTTGTTTGCAAAATTGTGTTGTGAAACGAGTTTTATAAGAAGTATTTTGTCGCACGCACGGGTTTAGGACGCGACGAGCGCAGCGAGGAGTGTGATAAAGAAGTAAGTGCGACAAAGTGCCTTATAAACGATATATCATACAATATTTTTTTCTACTTTGCAATTTTTTTTGAACAAAAAACAACATGACAACATTGCGCGGTAGCTAGGTGGCTGTGAAATAAATTAATTTGAAACGTCATTATTTTATTCGTAAAAATGAATTCCAAAGGTGTCGAAAACGTTTTGCAATGTACATCTCTAAAAATATGGATCTTAAGGTAGGTAAGGTAGGACGGTTATAAAATAATAGAAAAATAATTTTCGTCACCTGTCTTCGATCTGCTTAAAAATTAATTTATGTGTACAAAGTGTGTTAGAACTCGCGCGCCAGAGAAAAATGTCATGTAAGGTAAGATACCAGGAACATGGAAAAAATATTATACACGACATTCGGATGGCATTTTAAAGTAAATAAATTACTGAGTTTTTATATTTGTAGCTATTGAAAATGAATACATATTCAAAATAGATACAGGTCATGCAAAACATTAAAATAAAACTAGACCAAACCTAATAGTAATTGTTAATTTGGTTTGCGTCCATATGCTTGCGTTATTATTTGATATGGATGTGTTCTGTGAACTGTGGTTTGATGATGTAACCTGTTCGCGTTTCAAATTCACCGTGATGTGAATCATAGTATGTATGAATAAAGTGGAACAAGTACTAGAGATGTACAGTGTTCCAGAAATTGATTAGTAATCGCATTATGTACTTGAAACTTGAATCAAAGTATGTAATGTTTTTCTATTTGTGATAAAGTTTGTTACTTTTGTTTAAATCGTGAAGTTTATTGTTTTTATTTTTAGCGTACTTAGTTCTTTCAGTTGATTGTATGTAGTAAGAAAGCGTTGCTACTTTTTAGACAATTAGCGTTAATACATATCATATAAGCTAAAAGCAAAAAATAATTATAGTTATATTCAAACAAAGGAATTGAAGTTTTTATTTTTAATTTAGGAAAAAAAGACGGATTGTATTAGAGGAAATGATGATTTATTCTGCGACACTGTCAAAATTTACGGTTTTTCTCCCATGTAAGGAAGTTTTGCCAACTGTTTGTCATTTCTCAATACGAAACGTCAAATTATTGTTAACAGATTTAAAGCAATTTTAAGCCTTTTTGAGTCTAATTCGAAGAATAAAATATTTAACTCGTCTTCGTGTAAATCAAATACTTTATTCCATCTCGTGGATGATAAAACACTCGTTAACACTCGTGGTTTAATAAAAATTAAATAAAGCGTCCGATTTACACTCAAATTCGTCGAATAATTAATATTATACAACAAATGAATTAAACGTAGGTACGTTTATTTACGAAAAGACGTTGAACTTACGAGCACGTAGTGCGTGTGAGATTATATCTTTCACGTGGCGTAAAAGTTTTTATTCAATTTTGACGATATTTTGAACAAAAAATATAATAATATTTAAATCACACTATTCAGTCTAGAACAATCATGTAGACTGCGTAAAACATTTTTATGACAAAGTGATTACATCCAAATTTGTGACACTTGTGCGAAAAATAGCTGAAATCGTAGAAGATCAAGACAAAAAGGGAGTTTTTGTATCCCCGGAAAAAAACTTTTTTTTAATTCACTAGTGAATCATTGCCTGCTTATGATGGTTGTTATGGAGTTAATAAAGTTACTTTAAACTGTCAAAATTGAATAAATAATTATTTTATCCTTCAGTGTTTCTAAAAAAACTAACTTTTTATGCCTTTACTTAATGGTTTATCGCTAAAAAATTTGTCTGACTGTTTTTTTATTATTTTCTTCTTGGAAAATGTTAATGTGTTACTTCATTTTTATAAACAATAACTGTCGATTTAAACTAAACTTTAATTAAAATTCAAAAAAAGTTGCGTTTACTCTATATGATAGTCTAGTTTAATTAAAAACTAAAACCAACTAAAAAACCTAAATCTTCTTTAAAACCCAACTTTTTCGCACTTTTGAAAGTACAGTCTTTAATTTATTTAATGGCATAGTAATTTAGTGTAGTAATAAAGTTATTGAACGGCATACAGTGTAATTACCCCAAGCCATATAACTTCCAACAGAATATTATTATTGCTTCTATACCGATAAATTTAATCTATTGGTAAAGGTATGTTACTAGGTTTATAATAATATTGTGTACATTTTAAGTTAGTTGACGTTTTTGTGAATACCTGTTTTGTCTRTACCTGACTATTTATTTGCATGCATTGAGAATTTAAATCTAACGGTTATTTATTTAAATTTGGCGTCATAGTTGGCGGTGATGTGTGTTGCGAACTGWCCACAATTTTTAGTACGCCCGGCGATGTGTCAAATGTCAGATTATAGCTTTCAATACAATGATTCGTTCACAATCAAACTTTCATGGATATCTGTGACGCCCAATCTACAAAAACACTCGTTTCTTTTTGAATTTCTGGTGGGAGTAGTGTGAATCAAGAACACGATATGACATCCTCCGTCTGTTTAGGACATTTGACAGCTTCTGACATTTTGGTACTAAAGTCAAAAATTAAAGCTTTTCCCTAGGATTAGGATTTTTATAGGGCTTGAATTACGTTGATGATATAAAGGGTATAAATCTTAGCCTCAAAACAATCTACAAATGACCTACTTGACGGTAAGACATACTTTTGACGTACGTCTTAGTTCTGAAGCTAATCGCATTTGTTAAAGTGAGATAAATAGCGTGATAAATACGCAAATACGAGAGAAACCAACATGGCTGTTTACAAATGTTAAAAGAAGATAGCTATCTGATACGTTTTTCAAATTATTAATTGATCTACACGCATATAATTTAAAAACGAACTTTGCTTGTGTATATCCCAACTCAAAATTATATTTTGTTAACTTGGTTACATACATATTATTTTTTACACTATTGAATAACACAAATTTTGTGTTTATAAATACATGTCATATTGCGTCTAATTGTAGAAGAAAACGTCTAGAGCAGAAGACAACAAGTAAGGATGTAATATTGTTATAATATAATAAATAAAACGCTGTAATTAATTATTTAAAAGTGACTTTATTTGTATGTGTCCCTGAAATAACACTGTTAATATTAATACCAAGTTGAGTGAAACTTACATTTTTCAAACAGCAATTTTTCTATTGTAATCATTGGAGATTCAAATGTTAAACAAAGAATTATAGCTAAAGCAATACTACACATAAAATCGCCCCAAAAATTAAAAAACTGTAAATCAAAATATTAGATTAAGTTTAGTGTTATAAAATCGATACTTCACCGTATAGAAATGTGTCAAGCTAATTTCAGTCTTGTAAGAACTAGTTCTGAGAATGATAAACGCATAGTGAACTAGATATATGGAATAGGAAATTTTCGACAAAAACTGGAATATGGAAGCTGACAAGAAGTTATTAACAGGTCCTGGAAACTGCAAAGTAACTACCATTTACATAGAAATGGCCTTAATTATCTTGCCTCCGTATCCTGAGACACATAAAAAAATTATGCCACTAATGGCCAAAGCCCAAGCTGGTCGATTGAAGGCGATGTAAAGAGAATGAGACCATCTATTGTAAGGGGCTAGCATTGTGTCGTGTCCTGCATAAACGCACGCCAAACCACCGACTAGACACAACGACCAAAGTAGCAAAATCATAATCTGCGGAAAAAAATTATAATTATATAATTGTTTTCATTAAATGTGGAGTGTTCCATTATGCAAAAAAATTCTCTGAAATTTATTTTGCATATACATTCTTTAAAGCTGAGGAAAAATTAATTTTGTTCTTTAAGATTTTATGTCACTCTTTCTTAGGGGAGAGTGGGTGAATTTGCGCACCTAAGGAAATTTTACTTCAACTTTGAGAGTTTAAAAAACTTTTATTTGTGTCTTTGGCTATTGATATATATGTTAGCTACAAAATGCGCGACGTTATGAGGCTTATGGAAAATGCTGTAGTACAGAAAAGAAATTTGAAAAAACAATAATTTAAACGTAGAAGTGCATACAGTATGATTCAGWAGTCCTGGACCATTTCTTGAATTTTTTTTTACAAGATATGGTTCAGAAATAGTTCAGATGATGTATTCCTAAATTTAGTTAGCGGAAACGGCAGAGCTTCCAACATTAAGCAGGTTGTTGAAAAAATCAACAATTTGTGTCTTATATAGTATACAAACCATTTAACAAACTAGTAAATTCAGTAATAAATTAAATCTGACAACATTGGAAACAAAAAAGATAATGTGCTAAATGGTTATGTGGAAATAGTTAGTTCTGTCAGTTTTGTTTTTTTTCAGAAACCAAAGCTTGAAGAAAAATCTGTGTTTGATCACCATTCGAGAGCTGGTCCAACACTTTTGAAACAACCTGTATATAAAAATAATAAATTTAACAATAATTACTTTTTTGTTTTTACAACATATTCCAAAAATATGAAACCAAAAAAAGCAAAAGAATATAAAAATTAAAACAAACAAAATTAAATAAAGTCAAAATACCTAATAGAAAACAAAGTTTACATTTTCTGCCATTTCCTTTGTAGCACTATGTAAATAGATGTTCTGAAATTGTAATGACAAAAATAAAACACAAAATTGTCTATAAGTTTAAGCATAGTTGGGCAGACATTTTTATAACAATCTATTAATTTAAGGTATGTGTAAATATTTTAACAGGTGATAGTAGAGCTCAAAAGAAGTCAAAATAACGCAACGTGGCTTATTCGAATGTTTATAGTTTTTTAGATACAGTAAGTTTTCTTTGTGGAATAAATTTAAATTTTTTAAGCCAGCTTAAAACTTCACCAACTCAAATTGTAAACAAGTATGATCTCTGAGGGTAGCTCTTCAAAATCTATTACATTGCTTTAAAGAATTTGGGTAAAAATTAGCAAAATAGGCACATGGAAATGTGTCCTCATAAAAAAAAACATGCAGGTAAAAATATTGGATCAATTTTTTTGTTGAAGATATCACCCAATTTCATTACCTCAATTGTTACTAATTACTAGCAATGTAAATTTTGGGATAAAGTACTCAAAAAGTTCAAGCTTAGTTTATACTGCATTTTTTGACAATTTTTCTGACGCCAAAATAGAGGTTGCACCTTCTTTATCTTAGAAACTATAAACATTCTTATAAAGCAAATTTAGTTATTATTTTAGTTAGTTATTTTGACTTTGACTATGACTCGTTCAAATATTTGCTCATACCTAGTATAAATATAACACGGTAGAACAAAAAAAAATTGTCACTTTTTTTTTATTTAAATAGGATTTTTTTTTATCAAAACAATTAAAAAAATATTACGAGTAAGAGATCGATAAATCTCATTATTTATAAAAATATTTATTAATACTGACTCTCACCTTTTTAAATTTAATTCTCAGTTCTCCACTATTAATTTTAAAAACAAAATAACCCATAATCATGCCCATTACATATGGTCCAAACCGCCCATAGGTTTGCTCATAGTAAAAAAACATATAATTTAATGTATCATTTCTAAAACAAATAAAAACGTCGTAGTTTTGAATTATTATTTTCTTCCCTACAGATAATAAAGTTACGATTTATTTTCTTGTTTTTAATTAATAATAACTTAATAAAACTTTATTCCTTCAGGAATAAAAAGTGAAACACCGATTTCTACACTTTATACAGAATTAAATAAATTGAATCTTTTGCGTATTTTTTGACAAAAACAATCTCTTTGATTTTTACTCTTAAAAATTGCAGTTTAATAAACTGAATATTTTGACAAGTTATTTGACAAATTTATTATTTTATTAAGTTATTATTAATTTAGTCTGTTGGGAAGAAAGTTTTGTATGCATCTCTGGAATAAACATCTTTAATTTTATGAATAAAAATGCCCTCGGCTTCTATGTGTCGCCTCTAGCATTACCTACATACTTGAACTTACATACTTAGATTACAAGAGTTGTTTATTCCATTGATACTTAAATAATTATTAACTTACTTATTTCCAATCATAAACGCAGAAAACTGTTTGTTAAAAGCAACTCCAAAAGGTATGACAATGCCAGCAATTGTGAGAATTAACAGTCCAACTAAAGTCCATTTTGGCTTTCTTTTTAAGGCAAGGAGAACAAGTGGTGATAAAATAAAAAGTTGCAAATCAATAGATAAATACCATGACTGTGGTACACACTAAAATTAACTAAATGTTTAAAAAAATGTCAACCTAAACTAATAATAATAAATCTACTGCTTGTTCGTCGTGTACGTAGTTTTGAATGTATAACAAAGCTGCCCACCAGTGTTTTCTGCAAGGTGTTACTAAGTGTTCATCAAATGAATTCCACTGAGGACCGTCTCCTAAATATTTCAATGTTGTTGCATGGATTAAAACTACAACTGCTAAGGCAGGAGTTAACCTGAAATGTTGGGATTTATTGATTTGCACAGAGTAGGAAAGTTATTCTGTTTAGCAACTGCAAGAGATTCTATAGAAAAATGATGATATTATTAAAAAAACATGCAGGTTGTTTTTACGAAATTGTTAAGTTTACTTTAAAATGTTAAAAGAATACAGAAAACATTTTTTTTACGAAAACATGTATTTTTTCAGAAATTTTTACACAAAATCGAAGGCAGCAGGAAAAATTTCTTACTTTTGCAAAGAAGAAAGTACAGAATTTAAAGCTGTAAGAATTTTTTATGTTATGCATTTGTAAAAATTAAAAAATAAAGAAGTTTGTTAAAGTTGAATTAAGTACTTAAAAAATTTTAATGGAACACCTTACTTATTGCTTTTGCATCTAATAGACTGTTAAATTGTCTATCTAAAAATAAAAACTTATAAATGCCTAAAATTGATAAATAAAGAGATATTGAACATTCAATATTCATTGTACAGGGAGCTGCATTTTGGATGTTCGAATAGGGAATCTCCGAAACTAAGTGGTTTAGCCAAAAACGAGTAATACATTCTGGGGCTAATTTTTTGAGAAAATAATATTGGTTAAAACCGCATTCCCGCTATCGTCTTTTGTTTTCGACTTATAGGCAAAAATTGACATTTTAGCGAAATCTAAAAAAATTCATATTTTCGTTATTATAGAAGACACAGATTTGAAATAAAGACATTATACTGGCACTTTTTTACGTAGAATTTAATAATGTAGTTAACAATTTTTTTTAGTTGTTTGTTTAGCCGTAATAAAATAAACTTGTATTTTTTTAAATGGGAATCATAGATGGCTATGTCATTTTTAAAAAGCTTGTTTTTTTCTTATCTAAAAAAATATATATTTGTAACAAATTATTATAATACATTTTTCGCAAAAAATTATCTTTGATTTTTGTTCGCAGCTGGCCATGAAAAAATGTTGCATCTTCAACCAAAAGGATTTAAACTATATTATTCAACCAGTATCACTAATGAAAGAGTTTTCTAAGTACTAAGTAATGAAAAAAATGCAAAATAAATCGTAAATCAACTTATTGGCGACTAATAACATTTCTTTGTTTTTAAACAAGCTATCCTTACCATTGCAACTTCTAGTGATACATAGAGTGTTGTAAAAAAAAGCCGCTTTAATTCTTCAATAAAATATATTTTATATGACACAAAAATGACGATATGGCTATTCAAGTACTCAAATTCCGTCTAAGTGGAACGTTTTCCTACCTCCATTAGATCATCAAAAAAATGTTTTTTGTAATTGTGTTGACTGTTGACACATTTGTTTTTCCTATTTTTTGATTTTTTAAAAATATGTAATAATTTTGTTCTGAGGCGCTCGGATATTTGTTCAATGCTTTTACCGTATCGTATTTTTTAAATCTTTATAATTTTATCTATTTTTTCATCTATTTTACAGTTCACAAAACTCTTATTGATTATTATTTACACATTTGGAGTGAAATAGTTTTTCCATGGCCAACTATTATCAAACAAAATATGTATTTCACTTTTTAAGTATAGTTATAAAAAAATATTTTGTTACAAATATATATATTTTAGATAAGAAAAAAAAACAAGCTTTTTAAAAATGACATAGCCATCTATGATTCCCATTTAAAAAAATACAAGTTTATTTTATTACCGCTAAACAAACAACTGAAAAAAATTGTTAACTACATTATTAAATTCTACGTAAAAAAGTGCCTATATAATGTCTTTATTTCAAATCCGTATCTTCTATAATAACGAAGATATGAATTTTTTTACATTTCGCCAAAATGTCAACTTTTGCCTATAAGTCGAAAACAAAAGACGATAGCGCGATGCGGTTTTAACCAATATTATTTTCTCAAAAAATGAGCCCCAGAATGTATCACTCATTTTTGGCTAAACCTCTTAGTTTCGGAGATTCCCTATTCGTACATCCAAAATGCAGCACCCTGTACATAAATACTGAAATTAAAATTATTTTATTGTAAAAATAAAGAATAATGGATTTAGTTTAACATAAATGTGATTATTAAGTGTCATTTCTTCCATATCTTGTGCAGCTGTGCACTTTTTAACTATTGAAACAATAATGTTTTTTAATGTTTTTCATGATCGTTCCCTTAGATGCATAAAAAAGTGGTATATAAATAAATATATAAATTTTTCAGTTTATATACTTGATTTGACATCTGTCAAAATTAACCTCAAAATTTTCAATAAATTCACGTTTTATATGAAATTTCACTGACGAGCCTGAAAAATGTTGTTCGATACACGTGCGCTGTCTTATTTTTCAGGTCTTCGACCTCSACTACATCACTCAGCTTCGCTTCGTGCCRCAAAATTCGGTCTCAGACCTGAAAAATAATTTGACAGCGCACTTGTATCGAAAATAACTCTTAAAGTTAAATACCTATCCTCTTAGTTATTGATTATAAACACCTAAAAGTAAATGATTTCGGAAAGACAATTCAATCTCTTAAATGCAAAAAAGAGTTATTTATTATACAAGACGATAAAGAAATTGTTTATCCACGAGTAAAAAGATTAAGTTTACGAGTGAAGAAGACATGAGTGGATCTTTTAAATACTACTTTATCTACTGAAATTAATTGATAAAAACACTCATTAACATTGAGTACAAAATAAATAAATAGTGTATCTAATTTTTTTAAGGTTTTGAACTTTTAACAAACGTCTTCATATTTTAAAGCAACACTTGCATTTTCTTTCTCCCTTCACGGTTTAACTACATTTACCTGCATTAAGAAGTTTTTTTATGAGTAGGTAAGTAGTAAAGAAGTGTTAATTGAGGTTCATATTTGCGACATACCTTATGTACCGGTGAATGTAAAACAAAAACACATTAAACTTTATTCCTTTCGCGTCAGTTTTGAGAAAAGTGTATACAATTACTATTCCCCCAATTACAAAAAATGTGTCTACAGCAACAGATGCTCCAATAACAAACATGTTGGCGGTTTCTTGAATAAACTTAAAAATAACAATTTTTTAATAGTTGTTTATGTTTAAGTAGTTGTATAGCCTACCTCAGAAACTGCAAAAGAATTAGCTATTGGTCCTGCAGCCCCATTTAYATATTCGTGAGCTACYACTATCCACATCATGCTGAGAGCTTTSATCCCATTTAAGCACAGCAATTGATCTTTACTTTTTGTCGTTGCTACCAATTTCTTTCCATTTGTGAAATAAGAAAATGCAACTGTAAGTTCATTACCGGGCTCTTAAAAAAATAGTTAAGCGTTGTTATTATTTTCTTTATTAGGATATGTATTTTCAACTTACTGTATTTCTTGTAATGTAGATAGAAGTCATAACTGGTTGAGAGAAAGGAGATTAGTAGAAATATAGCTAAAATTGTTCTACAATTGTAGTATTAGTTAAATTAAATATTTTATGATAAACGCTACATTGTTGCAATTGCTCCCGGGGACATTTTCTGTTGCAAATTTTGAGTGTAACAATCATTTGTGTCAAAAACATATAAATTGTGTAAAGTAGATATGTCTTCCACAGAACATTCATTTGGAACGCAAAATGCCGAATGCAGGTAAATCTGGTTAGAAATGATTTTTGCTTGACCGCCTTTTGTTATGCCCTAAAATTTTTCTCTCAGTGTTTTTTTTTTGGTCAAAGGTAAAAACCTACCAGTGAAAAGTTTTTGGTTGGTATTGGAATTTTCCCTAAACAGTATTTACCGCTAAGATCGTTTGTTTTTACACTTAGACATTCGTCAAAATTTCCCAAATCGTAAAAATTTCCAGCTAAGACTCCAATTGGAATCTTAGATGTTGCATCAAACACTACGAAATCATAACTTATAACAAATTTGAATAAAAAAAAGCTTACTTTCTAAGGCCCACTGCTCCATGTTTATTAATCCACTGTTATAGAGTTCTAACTGCCTTGAACATCCTTCGGAAATATTTTTCATCTTATTAGATGAAACAGCTGGACTTGGAAAAAATATTAGCAAAACGAGAAATAATAACATAACTTACACTTTTTATGTACATAATAACTGTTTTCATCGCTACGCATATTCTAAAATATTATCTTAATTGAATGTCGAAAGGTTTATCAATTTGAGTGAAATATCAGAGTACTTCAAGAGTATTACAAAGAATGTTATCTCTGTCCTTGTACAGGGACATAGCCCTATGTTCAGTTTGAAAAACACATAGATCAAGCCAATGATAGTCTCAGTAGCGTGTCTACAATTCTTTTGTTTTTTTGGCGTTTGAAAGAGAAAGTTTAGATCTTTTTTTCGGTGTTTTCAAAATTTGAAAAAAAAATTGACAAACCCTAAAATTTTAAGGTTACTTTTGTAATAATTCAAATACCCGTAACTCAATTTTTCCAAATGAAATACCTCAATTTTTATTTTACTAAATGGAAGAGAATTTAATTCTGCATCGATCTCCCTATACTTACCAAAATTTAATAATTTTTAAGTTATGGTGACTTTTTGTTAAGACTGCCGAAAATCTATTACTAACCACATCCGTTTTCGTATAGTTTGCTATGGATATCAAAAATGTTTCATCTCAAATATTTCAAAAACGGCTAAATTAGGCATAGGGAAAACTAATAAAAACTCCCTTAAAATAACCCAATTAATCCAAAAAGGCATTAAAAAATATACCTTTCCATTTAAAATAAGAAAGTTGAGACCGACTTCCGGTATAAGCGAAAGTGACGCCATCTTGAAAATATTTTCATTTAGGAGGACTTAATGGTTTATGGCTATGTACCAATTTTCAAATAAATACGATTATTCGAACTCCCAATACTTCTAATGTGGGGTTTAGACGGAACAGCCTGTATAGTAGTTTATAATAGTAGTAATAGTAGTTGTAATTTTAGGTATAAAACATACGTAGTTTTATTCATGGCAAGCTTTGATGAAACTTTTTTGAATCACACGATATTATATCATATAAAGTTTATATTATAAAGGCTGGATTATGAAAAACGCCCCAAGCCATAGCTCTATTATTTCGAAATTATGACAATATTTTGTAAAACAAAGTTAAACACATTTTGTTATCTATYGTTTGGGGTAGATGCTATATTAATGCTGTTTTCTGTTTCATGGAAAGTGACATCAACTTTAATTTTTTTAATGGAACAGCCTGTATATTTTAATACTCTTGAATTCTTTGTTTAATTGATTTTTAAAAAGTTTTAGTATTATTGAATAAAACCAACCATTAGTGAGATATTTGCCAATTAATGTATTTATTTATTAAAGTAGGCAATGAAAAACAATAATATCAAGATTATCAAGTAATGTTGACAAATATTATTACTTTGCATTTTCTCTTATTGTTTGTATACTTTTTGGTGTTAATCATGATAATGTGTTAACAGACAGGATTCAAGAATAAATTACTTTAGGTTGAAGCTGAAGAGTCAAATTGCATAAAAAATAGGAGTATTTCCTGGAAATTTAAAGGATCGTCTTCTTAATGAAATGTATCAATATTCCGCCCAAGAATTTCGTAAAAAAATACATTGGAGCAGTGATTCAGAGTTTTTCCTTAGTTACGGAGATTAAAATTATTATTAATTATTAAAGCAAAATAACGCAACTAATAAAAGCTGGCAACGACGAGTACAACAAAACAAGATACGCAAGAGAGAAATGTTATGTACTATAAAAATGTGATGTTTTATCAAAAATAGAATTTTTCAATTTTTTGTTTTGTTTTTAAGTTCTACAAAATTCTATATATTGTTTTAAATGGCAACCCACTAGAAAACCATTTTTCTTATGAAACTTATGATTAGAACTATCTATTTACATTATATTTAATTTTTTCAAAAAAAATACATACCTAAATTGCAATTTTAACAAAAAAAATCTCATAACTCTTAAACAAAACTAAATTTCTTTCTCAAAATACGATCAGATTTTTTATATTTCTTTTATTTATATTAATTATTATTTTCTGGATGATTTTAAAAAATTGCTTGGTTCCATACTTTATATTCACCCTGTATGTTGTGTTGAAGCCAATGGCCAATGAAGGAAAACGAATACCTACCATTTCTTTTTGGATTATGTATATTATGTATATTATGCATAAAGGTTGCTTATATTAAATCATCTGGGTTTATCCGGAATTTGACTATGGAGCGACGGACCCTTTGATCATGGTTGAAAGTTGGTTTGACAGATTTATACACCTTTAGTGTCGACAGAGGAAAAGGMTAAGCTGCTTTGAGTTTCCGTGCATTAATGAAAATTGCACAAAGGAAATTGAAATGTGTAAAATAGGTAAAATTTGTTTAACATATTTTTCATGTTTCTTTTTCTACATATAACTTAACTTACTTGGAATTTTTTTCAGGGGCGTAAGTTTTGAAACACTTTGTATAAGCAATGTTTTTTATCACATAGAATACTAATTCTCTAACAGTTTTGACGAGTGCAGCATCTTCCATAATTAATTAATTTCAGGAAAAAGTTTCATATTTTTAATTTAATTAATGTAAGTAATGACAAGATTCTGATTTGTGCATGAACTTTTATTTATCATTTAGCGTAAAACTAATGGTGAATTTATGCTTCCATATTTAAGATTGTCACCGGGTAGGCCACCATATCCGTATCTTTAATGGTTTGGATTTAAATATATTTTTAGACACGCCATCACCAGTACAAGCAAAATGTTTTCGTCACTAAAGCATATTTGACTATCTGCAGGGCTAAAACCGTTATAGTTATAGTGTCGCAGACTTTTTTAAGGCAAATTTGATTGTCTACAACTTTGTCTTTTCCACTTTTTTTTGTCTTTAATCGTATGTGAAGCGTTTTTTAAAAAAAGTTAAAACATGAGTCGAAGCCTTTTGGCTTCGACAGTAATTTAAAATGGAACAGAAATTTTTTTCTGTTTCATTTTAAATTACTGTTTTCATCAAAGTTTTTGCTATATTTTTATTTCTTACTGTGAAGTATTTAAAGTTGCGGTCAATTCATAGTGGCTATTTAATTTATTGCAAAGTTGGCAGCCTCAAGCCCGCCACCTCTAGTGTGTGGATTATGTCTATGTTGACAGCAGAAGTCACTAAATTGTGTCAACAATTGTGACAGGCGTAGCAGATTTTATATGTGAAGATTGTGAAGTATTTACAACCCGACTTTTTCTCAGAATCGTCATTTATGGTAGATATGTCCCTAAGAAATTTTTACAATATTACACAGGAAAGTGGCCACTATGAATTGACGGCGACTTTAATATTCTATCTGTCTGTAATTTTTTTGTTTGTGTTGTCATCATCTTCATTTAATTAAAATAATTTTTTTCTTCCTCTTTGGTAAATTTTAGACACGCTAGTGAGACTCATTGAATTGAATGAATCATTCAGTCATTTGTTATAGAAGTGCAAAACACATAGAAAGCATGTGTTTCATAATAAATATTCTGTCTCAAGAGTGAGAATTTTTATTTTTTCTATTATTAAAAATGTTTTTGGAATTATTTCATTGGTCGTGGAGAAAAAATGTTTATTCTAGTCCTAAATTGATACAACAACACAAGTACGAAACAAATTATCACCTGTAAAGCATAGATAGGTATGTTTCACGTTGGAATATAAGAAAAAATTTGAATACATACTTCTAAAAGTAAAAGCATCCCAAACCAGAAATTAATAAAAGCCGCAGGCTTTTATGCTATCACAAAACTGTTTGATTAAGGTTTGATAAAAAAATGATTGTGAATGGTAACCGTAAATATGTAATCCACTATTCAAATTAATAACACTCAATTCACACTTTACTTAAAAAAACTTTTAAATAATCTTTTTTATTTCTATAATTAGTCGTTTAACTTTTATTGATGAATAAATTTAATTAGAGTAAATAATTATTTGAACTGAAAGAGCAAGAAGCCAATTAAATAAAGAATCTGAGTAAAGCAAAATGAATCCTTGAAACTTTCTTCAATTCAGTAATTTTGCTTTTCAAGACAAAAAACAAAACTGGGCAACATCTTATAAAAACATAAAACCACAATAACACATTTTTTGTATATGTTTCCGAAAATAACTGATTTAGGAATTAATTTGAGTTTCTAAAATGAGTCTTTTCCGGTTATTTTAAGCACTCAGTTTCCAAAAACAGTTTTGCCGGACATTACTCTACTCTAAAATTATTAGTTTTTTTAAAGTTTTAACAAAAAAAATCTTGCTTGTAACAAGTACTAAAAACGTTTTTGCGGACTCAGCTGCTATTCCAGAAAACAGCAACAATTTTTTTAAATGCGGTACCCATTATTATTTTTATTTTGTCACATTTTACTGTTTTTGTGTTGCGTCCCCTTCTTACAAGTAACTTACATACCAAATTTCAAGTTTCTAGCTCTTATCGTTCTCGAGATATGCTGTTTAGTTATAATTCGTCCAGAAATGTAAAAATGTAGGTCAAATTATAGCCGATTACAATACCTACTTTCTTTATAGGATAAGGAAAGTAAAAATTATTAGAAAAGCAAAACTGTACATGTTTGTCTTCTCCAGGGTGTGCCAGAACTTGCGCCCCAGAGAAAAATTCCAGTAAGATAAGATACCAGGAATATGGAAGAACATTTTTTTCATGGTATTTTTCTCGGGGTCGCAAGTTCTTTCGCACCCTGTACTAATATTAATTACCTTGTAAAACAAACTAAAATATATATGTATATTTTTTAATTTTTTGTATTTAATAATTTTTTATGTAAGACCAATTCTAGTCAAAAACAAGAAGTTTTCTCATAAATAATTGATACTGCGTTTCGTTTGCATCAAATTTATAAAATTCTACAAAGAAGAAATAATCAGTTTTCATTTGTTTTTGTTTTTTATTAATAATAACAATTGTAATATACTTAACAGAATTAATGTTTTTCCAAATAAAAATTTTTCAACAAAATTAAACGATTCAGTGACGACATTGCACATCGTGTGACAAAATATCTTTTTTTATGAGCTCTTGATTGCCTGTTTGTATGAAGCACTATTCTACAGGGTTTTATGTTTTAATGTAATTGTTTTTAT